GAATAAGATCGTAAATCAACATAAATATGTAAAATAGGATAATTACTTTTTTTTTTGTCTGTCTGTCTTTATAACAAAGTAAACAACGTGTGACGTGATGGAAAAGAGGTGCCATGCGAAGTGCGCCATCTATGGCGAATCCTGTCTTTAAAATGTCATACATTGAATTATGTATGTAGATGTAGAAAGTGTCTGTCTATACACTAGAATGTAAAGCACTTTTTAAAAGATACAAGAGAGCCGACATTTGTTTGTTCATCATTGGCAGCCCTCTTCCGAGATATTGTAGGAGTATTAAAACTGGTTCTATCTCTAGTTAGTCCAACCATTTACTGTGCCCAGGGCCACCGCTATTGTTTCATCTGAATTGAAGTTGACTGTGCTTACGTTCGTGGGCAAGTACTCATAATTGTGATATTATTCGGGAATTTTATAATATAGTAATACTAGTATTTCGTACCATTTGGTGTATGCTGCCCTCAACGCTCTGTTTGGACGTAATACTTTACAGTATGCCATCGTTGCATGGATCACTGGAACAGTAGAGACGATAGTGGTGGAAAATTCGTTCTCAGCGATATGGTTCTCATATGAACAAGGATAACTGTTGAGCAGACCAACGAGTACAGACTCGACCGTTACCATGCAGTAACAAGATAATTTCTTTGGTAATTGGAAGGCACCGAAAGAGTCAACAACGGTAATTAGTGCACGTTGGGCCCTGGGTCAAAATTGGATTGTGGGAAAATCAATGTTTATCAACACAAATGTCGCACATGTATGACGAGACCGTGGCGAACACCGCCTTTCAAGTTTAAAGCCAGGTAGTAAGTTATTGGACTGCATGTAATTTCTTGTCTCAGAAAGGATAACAAAATATTATGAGTATCGTTCAACTCAAAACCACCATGGACGGTAATTTCCTCACACTTCTTACCATGTTCTTTCCTTTGGTATCCCAAGCCACAGTCTCGGTGTTGAGCGACTGTACCCGAGCTAATTCGTCCCCGTGCTATCGTTGTCACACGTTGTAGGTTATAGCAATAACACCGGAACAATAGTCTACTGTAAATCTTTGGCTGGCAAAAACATGTAGTGATATTGACTGGGTCGCACGATACGTAAGTGAACAGCTAAGAAACAAGAAACACGCTTTATTAAACAAAACTAATAAGTTGGTGCTTATTAATGCTCATATTCCCCAAGCAGAGGCGACGGCACGACATTTTGAATGGGGGGAGGAGCGAGATCTGCTCAGCACCAACCTTGCGCTGAAGGCTCGACCTTACTAGAGGGTCCGCGGCTGATCTGCACTGGCTCGGAAGATGAATTCTGATTGGCTAAAAAAACAAAAAAACTTGTGGCGTTGAATGCACGTTCATTGTCAGTATTGTTATGCAAATTCAAACTAGCTAATCATTTACAACCTTCCGAGCCAGTGCAGATTAGCCCAGGGTCCGGGGCATGCTCTTCTTGAAAATTTTGAACTTTAGAAACGCTATTTCCTGGATTTTGAAGGGCTATTTTGGTGACACAAAGGGTTTCAGCTTGAGTTTGGAGGGGCGACCCCCCAGCATTTTTCGACCGCCCCCTCTGCCACCCCCCCCCCCGTGCCGCCGCCACTGCCAAGTTTTAGTGAAATCTTATGAAACATCAAAATGTACTGGTATTGGTGGAAGACAGAGTGGGGATGATAACACACAGTGATGACTTCAGTGATGTAGGCAGTGTAACTCGACCGATACATTGAAACCATTCAGCCAGTACTGCGCTCACGATGCGAGAGGAGTACAACCGCACACTGGACAATACTTCATTAGTTTAGCAATAACACTTTTTATAGTGATCTACATGGATTTTACAATTAATATCTGAACCCTAGTACCTCTGAAAAATAAGAATTTACCGATAAGGTAAGCTCGCCATATTGTACTACTGTCGGGAGAGGCAACAAAATTGTTCATGAAGATGAAAGGCCAGTGTTTTTATATGTGATATGTTTTCAAAAAACACCGGACATACCCACCTGTAATTTATGATCAATCCCTTAAAATAGCATCATACACAATTTCACGCATTCCAAAAATACGACAACATAGTTCAATATTCAATGATTATTTAATTTATCAAATAGTAATCTAGATCGGAAGGTTCGTCTACATTTAAATCTGCATTTTGACCTTGATGTTCAGAGTATGTTTTATAAAATTTCAACAATATACACACAAAAAATATATCAAACACGCCGCCCTCTGTCGTTCAATCTCCAGAAAAAACACATCAGTTGATAGAGGGCGGCATAGTTCGATGAAGAACGCAGCAGTTGGAAAGGTAAGCCTATTCACTCTTTGAGTATGTTTTTCCTGTTCCAACATGCGAACGAACTGAATGCTTATCGATTTGGCGTGTAGTTTTCATCACGTGATCAATAAATACTGACAGGATATGAATGAATTATTTTCGTCACGGTATATTACGACGCATGCGCACGATAAAGTGCGCTGTTCTTGTTCCCACTATTGATGTTTTGACAGACTTTGTATATCCTGGTTAACTTATTCTCAGAAAAAAAACAAGCCAGACTAAATTCTTCTGAAAAAAATACTCTCATGGGTTAACTATCATAAGCTATGGACTTGAAGAGTGATAGTGACGTCACAATGTTCGAGGCGTAGCCAATGCTTGTGTAATCAATAATAGTATCGGAACCAACAGACCTGAGATGTTCAAATATCTTTAGAAACTAATAAAATGTTCATCTGTCATAATTTGAGCGTTAGTGTATAAATAAATAAATACATTTAAGTAGATTGCACAT